TCATCGTCCAGAGGACTCAAGCGATCGGAACTGCGAGAAGGCTACATCAAACCATCGCAATGCATGCCGTCATTGCCAGAACATGAACGATCTTGAAGCCCGCCTGACACCCAGAAGCCACATGCTGCCTGATCGCATCGATGTTGTCCTCAACAGCAGCTCATGCTTTGCCTAGAATGGCAGTGCATCCTATTCGATGCGGACAGCGCAACAAGACTCTGGGTCAAGAACCTGTTTCAGCAAGGTAAGGATTCCTGGCAGTTGGGTGGCCCATGGTGGCCCGCAAATTGGGAATGTGAACGCCGCAAGCAAGCAACACCTGTTCTGTTCGCAGCATCGACCAAGTGTGACAGCGGGATGACGAAGAGCATGTTCTGCAGGGAACACAGTGCAATCGGCACATCATGGCATAACCGGCATAGCCGCATCGAAGATACACATGTTTTGGCCATAACAACAGGGGGCTGCTTCAGTCTCAAAGGAAAGATGCTCGTAAACTTTCCGCCCTCGGTTGAAGCGACAGGTCGATGGCTTCTGGAAAATGTTTGCAGCACCCACTGCGGTCATGTCGTGCCTTTCCAGGGTTCGCCGCCATTGCTTGCTTGATGCCGAAATTCAAATTGTCGTTCCTGCGTAGGATTCGTTGGAGAAGGGGTGGCAAAGGATAATGGTCATGCTGGAGATCCCACCTGTACTGAAGGTGTCTCTGGCTGGCCAGTGGCAAGTCCTGCGAACATCAGCCAGGCGGAAGCATCACACAAGAAGTCGTGCCAAGGAACCGTATTCCCCCGCCGAACCCCTCATGAACTCCGCCCTTGACTCATTTCAAGCTCGTTGGTACTAAAAATCCTTCCGACACGTCCCAGGTTTTAGTCGAACTAGATGATTGCTGCACGCGCCATTCTGCCACGGTTAAAGATGACCATGCTCTAGGGCCAGCGACCCATGCTTGTTCTTTCCAAATGAACAAGCAGCACAACGGGAAGCGTTTGGCCTTTAGGTAACTAATTTCTTCTCCTGCCGAGTCTCTTCATTGACGAGCGAAGACCATGTGGGATGCTAAGAAAGACTGTTACACGCAGCACCTCATAAAGACAATGACTTTTCAAGATCAGTATGCGACACCCGGCAGGGTGCCGAATGAGGTCCAGCCCAACCCGCACCGTCCGTGTGAAAACTGGGCATCGTGACTTCAACGGTTGGTTGACCCTAGGCCCAGGCCTAGCTGCTTGGCATGGTCTTAGACTTGTCCCCAGTGAATGTCGGTTAAGTTCTTCCTTGAACTTGTGCGACCGAAAGGGTTGAAGTACTGAGGTGAATACGCATGGCCAATCCCTGTAAATATGTGAATGCACGTACACAAGCGACAAACCGTGGCGTGCCATCTATTATGCACGTGCAACTGGTGCCATATCTAACATCAAGGCCGCACCTTCAGCTCGACCAGTAATTCGTCCAGCTTCCCCAAATTGCCACATTTGAAGGCTTCGTACATTCCTCCCTGCCGAGGAACAGGGCATGGCGAGGAACAGGACACGTCAGCCTCTGCGCTTCCGAGACAGCCCAACGGACCCACCTCGATGGCACTCACCTTTTTCGCCCACTCCGGTGTGAGGTGCACAGCCATCCACCTCAACGGACGACAGAGGGAAGCGAGCTGACCTGCCGCGATGTGTCCGGAGGCACTCTGCGAGTTCTTCGTCTTCCTGCACGGTGTGCCCTTGAAATGCCTTGCAATGACTCTGACGCGACGACTGACTCGACGGAAATTCGAGGCACCGGGCCTGGCACTCAACGCTGATGTCCTCGAGGCCTTCATGCCAAGAGCGCCATTGCGGAGAGACGATCTCAGGGCTCGTGAGTCCCCCACCAAAAATCGGCTTGCGTGTTCCCCATTTTCGTCGAAAGTAAGTGTCCAAGTTCGGCTGACCTGCGGAGCATTTCATACCACACCGGCACCAGCGGACGAGCACACGACAAACATGCTTCATCTTACTTCCTGTGTCTTACCTTTGTGTGCCACAAGTCAGCTGAAGTTCAACATGCACCACAGATTTGTACAAAAAACACATGCAAAGGCCAGCAGAGCCTGTAGAAGTGCACCAGTTTGGGTTGATGGCCTGCAGTCCTGGCGAAGGCAGTATTGAAGTTGGTTTACCCTGCTTGTTCGTCAGCATAGCTTTCGTCAATGCGGTCATGGAAACTGAAACTGACTGGGCTGAAACTGACTGCGTTGCACGAGCGCCTTCATAAAAGACTTTGAGCAAAGTCTTACGGAAGGTCGCATTCGTCATTGTCGCTATAGACCTGGGTGCGTCCGAAACGACCTTGCACAGCCAGATAAGCATGTGCCAAACCCAGAATAAACTGAGTCCAGCTCTGCTTAAATGATACGGCCAGAGTTGAACCTTGGCACTGCTCCACGAGATCAGGAAGCCGATCCAAGCGTTCCTGAAGAGTCGCTTGCGAACTCAAGGCACAGCTGGTACAGTTATAGCGCACGCAGCTTCAGCATCGCGGCTCCTTGACGGTTTCAAGCGTTGAAGGAGGAACTCTCTCGGAAATCGTATCCTCCACACGTGACTGTATTGTCACTGTCCATGCAAAAGATGCCTTTCGGCTCGTCGTGTTACTACGACCACAAGGCCGCCGAAGCGATGCACTTCGCTCCTTTTCTCGTATGACGGGGTAGTACGAGCAGTGGGCCTGTCTCGACTCTCTCTCTCTCTCTCAAACCGCGCAGTGTTGGCAACATGAAGCACGCCAAGCAAGACCATGAAATTTCCGACGCCAGTCACATTGCTGGTGTCGGCCTCAGCAGCCACGCAAGTCGAGATGCATGTCAGGACGACCATGCATGTGGCATATTGAGGCAGGTACCAAAGAGCATCCAGTTGGGAAGTAAGCAACATCAGCGCATGATAATGCCTGCCAGGAATGAAGGTCGTGGCATTGTCACTCGCCGCGATGTGAGAACAGCGCTGAGCTCCTCCGAAAGAGGTCCACCCTGCAGAGGTGCTGCCGACTCCGGCAAGTTGTACTCTCCAACCTAGTGTTCCACGTTGGGGCGAACATGAGCCATCCAAAAAGACTCCTCTACGGCAGGTCCAGCGCCCAAAGAAAAATCTATCAAGGCTTCCGGCTATGAAGACCGCACGCTTGGCAGGGGGAACGCCCTGGTGCCAGAGCTCTAGTACCCCAAAACAAGCAAAGGACTTTGAGCCAGGACAAAGGGGACCTCCATGAACTTCCAGACCAACGGCACCGAGGTGCACTCTGCCTCGGATGCATCTGGCCTGTTCAAGGGGTCAAGGAATGGTTCCCAGCTTCGATGGGCTGGCCGGCAAAGGTGCTATGCCTGGAACCAAGCACCAGCCAAAAGATCCATGCCTCTCTCAGGGCACTGCGAGCATTGCAATTAACTTGTATACACCTGTGCCATCCTAAGTCTGTTTGCCTGTCGCAGCGTGCATGTCTGCCAGTGCACATGCTTCACGATCAGGCTTCGCAAGGGCTGCTGCATTGCCAATTCATGGAGGGTTCTGTCAGCTTTAGGGTTTAGATGCAGCAGCTCCGCAGCTACGCTTCGTTGTCGTCGTTTTCACAGCTTTGCATGGTGGTGCAGCCCAAGCTCTTAGCCGTGAAAAGACTTGAAGCATCTTGGAGTTAATTTGGAACTTGAAGGTCCCTGTCCCCGACTTGCCCACTCTTGACTTACAGCTGTCTTCCAGCGAAACGTCGGGTGATACAAAGATGTTGCCAACGCTTCTGGTCTGTTTTCTACCTGACTCCGAGCTGGTTCGCAGGCAATGTCTCGCAAAGCCCCGCTACAGACAGCTGAGAGCTGCTGTTAGGGTTTAGGGTTTCCTGGGAAGGCTGGACTTCCCAGCTTCGGACACAGGCCAAGAGCTTTGAAAGGAGCGACAAGTCAAAAATGCAGAGAAGGACACTTCCGGCCTGGTGCGCCCGACGCAGTGCCAAACACCGAGACATCGCAGCAACAAAATACTCAAAGTTGTAGTTATTGTCTTGTTGCTGTTGTTGTTGCTGTTGTTGTTACTGCTGCTGTAGCCCCCGCTGTTGTCGTGATTGTCGTTGTGGCTGTTGCCGAAGCTGTTGCTGTGGCTGCTGTTGTGCATACTCGGATAGTGAAAACTTGCTCTTTACTTGTGTGTTCGGCGCACTTGGGAATCAGGATTTCATGCTGATACTGCCTCCGCGAAATGGGCTCGCTGCAAAAGATTACATTCTTCAAGGGCATTCCTGCACTGTCGAAGCTGCCGGTCCAGCATTCGTTTGATAAGCTCAGGATGCTGCAAGCCGGCAAACATCTGCCTAAACCCTACCGCCACAACTCCATACGACCTACACCCATCACCACGCACAAGCACTCCCTGTTTTGCAGCTGCGGTCTGTCGCTTGAGGCTTCGCATCCTCCCGCGATTTCAGGATCGGAGTTGTTTCGAAGTGCCAACAATTTGTAGCCTTGCGTTTTGAGCTCAACAACGGTAACAACTCCTAGCATCCATGATAGCTCCGGGCCGAGCATGTGGAAAATGCTTTCTGTGACGTTTCTGCAATCTACTGCCTCCGCAAAGCATCTGCTTTGCAGTGCCTGAAAGCAGCAATCGCATTAGCTTCAAGGGCGGGAAGACTCACCAGTCTCCTGATGAATCTTGCCACCCCTGCATGGTTCATTTTCGAACATCCATCGCATGGGCTGTCCATGCCACAAGCCAAATGCCTTGTGCGAGTGACATGTCGTTTTGCTTCAGCACGCAAGGCAGCATGCATGCGATGGAATCACCTGCTCTTTCAGTTGGTCGCCTGTGCTTCCATGATAAGATGAGGCTTGGAGGCGCATCCTTTGACAGCTGACTGCTGCTATAGCATTTCCAGGACAGGACAAAGACATTTACAAATATACATAGAGACTACTGTATCTAAAGCACCTCCAAGGTTAGAAGTGAGACCTTGTGTTGCATTAGCGAGTATTTAGGCTAGAGCGGAGTTGCCAAGCCATCCACGGCAACCCAGCGAGAGGCATCTGGTGGCAGGCCGCACATCGATCCGCAAAGACCTTATTGTGCTTTCCAGCTAGCATAGGCACTCCTTCACATGCGATCCTGGCCGACATGCTCTGCCAGTGCAGCACGTCACAAAACGATGAATGTAGCACAAGAGCCTCACCTTTACCGCCGACTGTAGTCAGACCGATTCATACCCATTGCATGCATCCGGTTGCAACACACGAGGAGCTGACTGAAGCTCGTCCGATGGTTGACGACTCCTGACAACAACTGTCAGCTCGATGGACGTGATCGCTTTGCACAATCACGCTGTCCTCTTCCGTAAGGGGAGACACTGGCAGTGATTGAACAGGCCTGCCTCGCAGGACTTTGATTTCAGAATGCTTTGGGGCAGGCCCAGGCTAGAAGCCACAGAGAAGACTCAGAAGGCGGCATAGGTCTCCAGGTGGCCACACTCACCTGCAGAACACACTTCCAGTTCTTTTCAGTGCGGTAGACCTTAACTATGCTCGACTCCGGGCGCGAGCCAGTGAAGGGCTTTCTTACACCCTTCCTTCAAACCCCCCACTCTTCTTGTGCTTGGGGGGGGGGCAGGGGCCCTGTCGAAATCGATGTCGGTTTTTCCAAGCAGCTTTGAGGCTCAGTCTGGCGTCAGTGGGCGAGAATTTGGGCGGGAGTCCAGATCACGCGAAAAAGTGCTTGCGGCGGAAGGGAAACTCTATCATGCTCATCATGCTGATGCTGTGGGGCCTGCGGAGCACCAGGCGCGGGAACGGTGGCAAGCACAGTCGAGCAACAGCAGAACCAGAAGCCAGTGCAGCATTCTCTAGTGAAACCACCCTGTGCTGCCAGTAAATTCTGGAGCAGGCGAAAGCAGAGTCCAAAGGCGAGTTTCGAGCCGTCAGCCCCACCGTCAGCCCCGGCTTTGTTGATGCAACTCGACCGGTGTGATCGCGTAAATCCGACTCAGCATTATGGAAAGTCATCTCACTTCAACAGCTCCGTACTCGCAGCAAAAGACACGTCGTACTCGGCCTCGCGTCGAGGAATTGGGCTTGCCGGTGCAAGTACTGTCTTGTATGGCCTAGCAACGAGGAGCAGAGACACTTGCGGATGCAGATGCTGTTCTGCGCTGTAGCACATAGAATCAGCAAGGAATCTCAGAGAAGCACGTCTGCTTTACCAGCGGCGGAGTCACCACTGGTGCGGGCACTACCGCCGGCGCGGCCACGAATGAAGGCACCGAGGGCTGGCATCAAGAATACAATCGGTTTATCCAACGAATGGCTGTTCTTTCAGTTGTACAGGCACCCCGCTCTTGTGGAACCCGACAGGCTGTTGAGGCTGGGACCAGTGATGGTCTCCAAATCGGTCTCGGCTGGAAAGAAGGGGGACCCTGCGACAGACCTTGCAAATGAAAGTCAAGCTGCACATTGGAGTCATTAGAGTCCAGGAAGTCGCTCAAACCGTGATCAAGTGAATGTGTTTTGGCACCCCGCCTGGAGAAAAGCATTGCACAACCTTAGCATCTTTGACCATGCTGCTGAACCCTAGGCGCTGGAACGACACTCCGACATTCCCACTGGGCCAAGGTCTCGAGGGTAAGCTCCACCTCGAGCGCTGAGCCCGGCATTCCCGGCCTCAGAAAAAGCTGCTGCAGACGGGCGTCCGCGCTGACACTGAGCTTTCTGAGAAAGGAACACTCGGTAGGTCTTGTGCTGGCTGAGTCTCGCAGCTTGATGCCTGAACTTGCCTCGAGTCGGAAGATGGCAGCTCCTTTGCTGTTCTGGTTCGATACTTGACAGCGGCATCCAGCAAAAGACGCGCTGATATGCTGCATTACATACTGATTTGCGGGAGGCTCGAAAACCCTCGTCGATCGCACTAATAGCCCCTATCTCGGGCCAACAGTTTCAAAACCATTGCTAATGACCATTGCAAGCGCCCATTCTGAGGCAAGCACCCTGTTTGTGAAAGCATGTTACCCGGACTCTTGTACAGACCGATGAGGTCCCGTACCTGTGGTGCAGGTCATGCAGGCAGTCCCCCTGTCGGCGGGTGAAGAACGCGCACTAGTTCCCGGGCTGGCGTTAGTACGGCTAGGTCCATATGTACCGAGGTCAGGGTTGTTAGATTGGCGGAGAGGTCTGCTGAATTCCAAAATCCTAGGGATGTAGTGGGGCGTGGAGGCTGCAGGTTTACGGCTTTCGGAATGTCGGCTTGAAGACTTGTAGAGGCATTTCATGCCCTCACAAATCCCCCCATCCCAACATACAAGTATCACACGTTGCGTAACGGTTGCATGATATGTGGGGCACTGCATCATCCGGAAGTTGTCTTGAGCGCTTCTCTTGTGGAACGGCCTCGCCGATGGCGAGAGCAGACTGAAGATTGGACATGAGAAGACGTGTTGACCCGACGGACAGCCTCGACCTTCATGAGCGGCTCCGCTGGCCGTGAGTCCGGAGATCTCCCTCTTGTGGGTGCCTGATTCGAAGGGGTTCGTCGCACAACTTCTGCCTCAGAATGCATCTGAAGTTGGAAAAGCCTCGTAGAGCGCTGTCCGTGCTCCCAGCCTGAGCTTCTCAAGGGGCATCACTCACAGCAGCCCACCAACCCACCCGACCCTGCCCAAAGTGCTTGGCTTGAATTCCGCTTGGACTCTGACACTTTCAGAAACTCTGCTGGCGGTTTACGCTGGCAAAGCCTGAAGCCCTCCTGAGCCATCTTGACAAGAGCTGACGGAATCTGCAGAAGTACAAAATGGCAGAAGCCCGAGGGAGCCTGAATGATCTCCGCAATGGCTGGGCCGTCGTCCACCAACCTTGACAGCAAAAAAACAAATGCTCCTCTCTTTCCCCTGGCATCTGAGTCATGATGCATCTCTTCTCTGTATCAGGCCCAGGCCCACCGACCCAAGTGCCACCGCGAGTTTGCTTTGAGGTGCCACCAGGGAGGCGACGCTTGTAGTCCACCCCTGGACAGCAAAGTCTCTTTTTTCCGCTTCCTTCAATGGTGTGGTTTGAGCTTCTCGCCACTTCCATAAGCAACTTCATTCAAGCGAACTCCCCACCTCACCATGGGTATGGGAATTTCTGGATGGCACAGCTCTCGAGACACAACATCACGTTCAGCTTTCGCTTTCCGCTAGGTTCGCAACTCTTCGCTGCCGACAAAGAAGTCGGAGCCTCACTTTTGTGATCGTCACCATGCCAACGCAAAACATAGCACAAGGACCACGCACGAGTCACTCGCAAGAGGTCTGGGACTTCTGCGCAAGAATGGTGCGCCAACAGCTGTGGCAATGTTCTCAGCGGCAGCCGACCTGCTGGACGCACAAACGAGGCGCCCACAGCTACTTCAGCTTCAAGACATATTAGGGATGAAAAGAGACATGCAATAATTGGGGAGAGGATGCTTCGAGGGAGCCAATGTGTGCTTGCTTGGGCAAACAAACATCAAGCACTCATCAAGCAAACACCCGCGAGGACATCAAGATGAGAGTACCTCTCAATGAGTCTGTGCCGAGGTCAAGACATGGCCGGCATCGCTTCGCGAAAGAGCTTCAGCGACACCTACGACATGGGTGAACTAAACAAACGAAACAGATCTGCGGGTGGCGGGTGCCTCGAAGCCACGGTTCTGACCTCCGTGCTCGTGGATCACCTGATGGAGGCAGAGGCAAGTGCAACTTTTGCCTCCATGTCCCAAGCTGACATGCTTTCACTAGCTGACTAGCTGTCCGACACTTGCCATTAAAGATGTTTCCTCCGTACGGTTCGCGGGGCTGCTTATGCGACAGACCTGGCCTTGTGAAACCATGAAAGCCTACTCCAGACCAGATGACTGCGGAAAGAGCATGCCAAGGCCTCATTGCGTAACCCATCAGGCAACATGACACTGGTAATGTTGGTGCATGTTGTGGCACCAGGCCACACTCAGCTCTCTGTTTGTGATTTCAGGCATCATCTCAACCAGACAGCTAGCTGGCTGCTGTACCAATGCATGCAACCTTGCTTTGCATCGGCTAAGATGTCCTTCGCCTGCTTCTTCTATAACCGACCCGCCCTCACTCGCCTCCCAGCCATCGTCGTCCGAAAGCTGACCAGAATTTTTCGGCACCCGCACCTCGAAGGTGGGTCGGAAACGGATGTGTCGCAACATCTTGATCATATTATATCATATTATCCTCTTCGATCTACAGGAGTCTGCTGGCTGTCAACTACACTAGTAGCTCGAAGGAGTGGCAGAGTGGCGGAAAGTGTAATGTGTAATGGATAAAACCTGCACCTGTCCTGAAGCGGCACATGCGCGCTTGGTGCCACAAGGGCCGGACCAGCCAAGTAGTTCTCTTCCCTTTCGGATCTGCGACGCGGCCCCACCTGAAGTCAAATAGGATCGCCAGCTCAGCTTGGGCAAACATTCGCTGAGCTCCAAACCACCAAATTCCCACGCGTGCCTGCAAGTGATGCGCGCACTGCGAGGTCTGCGGGGTTTGCTGCTGCTTAGCTGTGAGCATAGTTCAGCTGTACAGCCAATCAACGACAAGTTCACCTGTTTCGCTTGGGTTCGCGCCTTGCCCCAGATAGTTACAACTCGCAGCTCGAGCGGAAAATTGAAGCCGACAGACGAGCGGTATCGCCTCAGCAACGCGTGCTCCGAACCACTTGCGGACAGCCTCTTGGAAGGTTCTAGGGATTCTAGGGGCCCTGCGGCTGGATAACAAAACCAGGAACCAGCGACTTGAGAGCCTTGCCGAACGGAGGGTGTTTGTCATGAAGCCGGACAGCGTTGTCTGACCGGTGACCATTCGACATGCGACAGCATGCGACGGGGGAGGGCTCTTTCCCCACGAGCTGCGGCAGCAGCAGTGCTTACGAGCGTTTGGTCTAACTCTGAGGTGGCACACGTGGGCTCCGACAAGCTTCTGACACAGATCGCCCTGAATCCTAAAGGCCAGCCCAGAGCTCTAAGCACCCTGAACCCTAAAAACCACAGCCCTAAACCCTGAACCCTAAAGACCAGCCTAGCGCCCGACCATGAAATCTGTGCGAAGCACCGTGGAAACGCCAATCTACAGAGATAGACTTTGCTTCGACACCTGTGGCGAGCAGCACCACTTCGAACTCCGAAGCCACAGCTTCTCATACAATACCCTTCTGTTGCGGAGAGTCCAACCTGCACTCCCGTACATGATCACCAATGGATGTTGGAGCCACAAAACATGTGATTTCGTGCCACAAGTCATTGAGAGCATTGGCGGCTGACGCGTCTTACCTTGCAATGTGTGTGTGTGTGGATGGGCAACAGTTTTGCATAGTGGTTTGGTCCGCTGCTTCCTTTTGTCAGAGCGCTCATGTGCTCGTTATCGTGGGTGCGCCCGCTTATGGGTGTTGTGGCGGGCTAGGGGTGGACTTGGTGCTTTGGTCGTTTGATTACGCTTGGTTTCGCCGGGCATGTGAAACATCTATTTAGCTCTCGCGGTGTCTGAGCCATCGCACCTCGCTCTCGCTGTCGGCTGCCTTCTTCTCTAAGAAAGTCTCCATGTGCTCAATGAGCTTCGGAGCACTCCACTGCTCCTGCGCAGACAGCTCTAGACTCCGGCTGCGGAGGTGCGCGGCTTCCGTCCACTTGTGGGCCTTTTCCCACTTGGGCTTTGACATAATCACAGCACCCGTTGCGCTGCTAAGATGAGTCCTTGACAGACTGTCCGCAGCGAACTACACCAAGCAAGTTCGAAGCTCGAGACTTGGCAAGCTGAGCCGCACACGGCTTGATGACGACGTCGTAGGCATCCGGATCACTGCTCTGTGTCCAGGTTTCAACAAGCTTTTCGACCTCATAGTGTCATAGCGTACACACAAAATCAAACATGCAGGCACATTTCGAATTGTCTAACTGTTCCCAGCTCACCTCCGCCTTGTTCACTTTGGTGTACGTAGAGAGCAGCCTCGTGCTCCCGTACATGCGGGCAATTGGACTGACATGCAAAAAGGGCTAGGGCATGCTGGGGTCTCAGCACTGGCATCTGCGGAACACCAAGATTCTCCAACAGTTTGCTCAAGATAATTTTGTCTCCCAGTGCCTCGAGTAAACCACACAGGCAAGTGCCAAGTGCGATTGATATGATCGGCCTGTATGGTTCCCTTTCCACCGCTGTTTGCCTGAGCATAACCAGGCGCATGCACAAATGCTAGACTCCTGGACAGACAGCAGCAGAAATCGCATAAAAGCTTCTGCCAGCCTTCATAACGTTCATCAACTCATTAATGCTTCTCTTCCGGTCCGCCTGGCCACAGCTCCCGGATTGGTTTGCAAGACCTAGCATGGTGATAATGCCCACTGCAGGCTAACCTCTCCATCCATCGAAATACCTCCCCAAGCCTATCTACCGACCTGTCCATGTAGCAAGCGAAATTTGTGCACATACATACACACACTGCACACACCACACACACCGCAGACACAATCCAATCTCAAGCCGGCATGACGAGCAACGGTCCCACATCGAAGTCTGTGTTAATAACAAAATTTCGGGCCTGAAACTAGCTCCAGCTCTGAATTGTGCAACATGAAGCGTTATCTTTCACTGAGGCTGCAACAGCAGACAACCACGCCATCATTTCGCTGCGTGGCAATAATGTGACCGGCTGCTGGACACTCCTTAGATCTTTGCTTGCGCCTTGCCTTGTGAGGCTTCACATGCTACATGATGGCAGTCCATGCGATCTTGGCAGCGACAACCTAAGATGGCAAGCTCTGAAGGCGACAACGAAACCTTATCGGCATGAACCATTGCCGCAGTCTCTGCCGGCACACAGGCTTGCTTAACACACGCTCCTCTTTCAACCAATCCTCGAATATATTCAAGGCGAGTCTCATTCTTGGCGCTGCAATCGGCTTTATTGGCACTTGTGGGGACAACGGAACATGTGATGCATGCCTCAGGGAGCAGCTCCGCAGGCTCCGCAAGGAGGACTCGTGCTGTTCTTTGCAATGGCCGCATGAGGCCACGGCGGTGACATAATCCGCACCGGTCCAAGCGTGACCTGTCTTTTAGGTGGCATAGAATGACCCCGTGCGTGCAGGCCAACACAGCCGGAGGTACGCTTGTTCGGGCAGTCAGCGCTGGAGACCTGGCGCGACTTGGAAATTGCCACCCATCTGCAAATCCGCACCAGAGATGCCTGAGCTTCAGGCAATGATCGCACCTGCGCAGTGCGAGCACGGGAAGCTGGCACTCCAGCAGGCCTTGGCATGCAAGGGCAATGACATCCGCAGGGCACTGGAAATGCATCCGAACGAGTTGGCGACATGCCAATTCGCACATTCTGAGCTTGGACCTGCAAGGCAAATTATTTCTGGGACGGTTTGCTTCTCAGCCAACCCAAGCTGGGCCGCGGACCTGCATAGGTAACAGGATGATTTCTCGGGTCCACAAGGGCCCGGAAGGTTTGCTTGATTCTGGGTATCCCTGGGGCCAAGTCTGGGGCCTACGTCGGGAACAGAATGCCCTTGCGAGACGGCGTATGTCCTGTTCGGCAACGTGTGTCCCTGAGCTCTAAGCAGAAGCTGGCTGGAACAGCTGTCGAGCCAGCTATTGCGCCAGTTTCAACTTTCAAGCGTGACATCCGGCCGAAGAAGCTCGCCAGCAGCTACCAAGCTAGGCGCAAATTTCGAGCAGAACGCAGAACTCTTTTTTGTAAACGACATCTCGGCTAAGTGCGACGCCACCACATTCACGAGAGAGAGACTCGCAGAAGCCCGAAGGAACAGTGCTGGAGCGCAGGCACACTTTCTCACATCTCGTCAGCCTTCATCATGGGTAGAACGGCTCCACCTGTGCCTGTGCTGGCCCAGCATGGCCTCAACAAAGGCTTTACAAGCCATGTCTTGTTAACATTTCCGTGAGCACTTGATGTTGGAATTCAACCGGGACTAGGAGCTACGATCCAACCAACACTTACATGATGTGTTGCAACAAGTTGGTACCCAAATACTGAACCAAGCACACACTTAAATCTTGTGGTGTCGATTCAGCCGCCATGGTTTGACGTGGAGTGACCGCATGATGTATGATGTGGCAGAACAGCATGAAGGAGGTCTCAAAGGTCTGACAAAGTTCTGATGACATTTCGCCTACCAGTGGTGGTATGATGTCAAACAACGAAACTGACAAACAATCAAGGTCTCATGGCAAGCGTGCAGTGCCCATACACTGCCTGGAATCTGAACCGAAACGAGCCATACCTTCTGCTACTTTCTAAAAACACATGAGTGAAGATGCTTTTTCTGCATGTTCAGCACTATCCTACAGTCCCACACACATACATGTACGTACAATTACGTACACGTGTGTTTTCACTGACAAGTTAGGAGCAGATTCATGTTTATCACGTTGGCACGTCGCAAGCCTGCTGGCATTGCTTGTGCTGCGATGCATGAAGAGATTCTCCTGCGTGTAGCCGGTTCATACATCTCGAGACCACTGTCGAATCCTGGGATTGCTGGCATCGCAATCAACCGTCATGGCAGCGATGACTGGCGCTGCTAGAGATAGCCAGGGAACGGTGGTGATTTTCTAAGAGCTTGAAGACGAGCTCGAAGAATCTCAAACACCGGCGCAACGATAATTTCAGCTGAGGAGGTTCACGTCACATCGCCGAGGGCCGGGCCCTTGCGCTTCTTTGTCTCAGTATGTGCATATCGGTGCATTTTTGGCAAGATGCACATTGATTGACATACCAACGAAGTGCGACAAATTCGGATGAGATCTACATACGAAATGCAGCTGAAGCGTAAATGCTGAGGTGGTGACTTTCTTCTTGTGCTTCTTCTTTTTCTTCTTCTTGGGGTCCTGAGCCAGACAGGGGTGATGCGATAAAAAACAGCTCAAGCAATGACTTGTCTCCTGCCTTGTCCCCCTATCTATATGCTTGGCAGCTACCTGATAAGTCCTACTTCCTTCCTGGCTCACATCCTGGCGCGGGCACCTTTTTCGCCTTCTTCTCTTTCTTCGTACCTGTCTTCTTCTTTGTCTTCTCTTTGCCTGCACACAAGTTGCGGAACGCAGACAAAACACCTACTAGTACTGGCGACAGCAACTGCACACTATCATCGAACAGCACCTTCGTTGGCGTCTGAAGCTTGATGCTCTTCATCATCGCTTGGAGCATCGATGAATTGGTAGAGCTTCCCATCCAACCCCACGCGCGCTTTCTTGCTTCTGTCACGCTCCTCCTGTTGAAGATCTTTCTTCCGAAAGCTTCCAGCCGGAGCTTCCGGGTTCACCTGACCAAACACGGCTCTAGAAAATCAGACGACATGTCTAATCAGCAAACTCCGTGACTCCGTGGTCCTCGTGATCAGAATCCTCGCGGTAGGCCAGTGACTCCAGGCTCTCCTTGAAGAGGCCAGCCTTCTCGGGACATCTGCGCAGACTTTGTATGACTCTCGCACTGTTGCCTGCAAGCCAGCTCTGTGTGAAAAGGCACCTTGCTGCCCTTTGCTCGGATCTGCACCCCTTCTTTGGAGGCTTTGGAGGCTTTGGAGGCTTTTGGCGAGTCTGCATACTCGCCGAGGGCAATACCAGTGACAGCTCCGTGTGTTCGCCCATTCCCTGAGGAGCCAGATGTCTTGCGTGGAGCTTCGGAGACGCCGTCCTCGATTTCTTGCTGAATTCGAAGTACAGCACGGGCAGACTCCGAAAGCTCATCATCATCTCGATCGGAGGAGGACGACATTTGAGCACGTTAGCTCAATTCGCCAGAGCCCGTCATGCCACTATCCTGGCTCTTGAGCACCAAAAAATGCTTGCAACAGTGATCAACTGCTGTCTCGTGTTGCTTCCGTGATTAACGGGCCGTGAAATGCTGACCTAGGAACACGTGAATACTCAGCAAAGCGATTTACGCATATATCCAACTTGCGCAGTTCTGCAATGAGGCCGCCAGTTCCTGAATGAAACACTCGGCTGGTCTTGCTCAAAGGCATCTTGCCATCCAGGATCAGATTAGGCTATCGACTGCTGCGCTTGACCAGTTGAGCATCCTTCAGGAAGATGGTGTCTCAGCACTGCTTGAATTGGTGAGACACGCAACTGTGCAAGGATCACAATGCAAACTTGCAAGTGCGAGCGAAAAGACAATCTTGAATCACAGTCTTGTTGCCGTCTTGTCACGTTGGCGACGACCCTCGAACAGCAAACGCAGTTGTGCGCGACGTCTTGCTTGCGTCGAGTATGTTGACGAATTAAAGCAGTGCAGGCTGTGCCGGCTCAGTTATCACGTTCCGAGCCGGTTGTACCAAATTTGACAACAGTTGGAACCAAACCAGGTGGAGAGGTGGTGAAGTCCAAATTACGAAATGAGGGACTGCACAAGACGAGGACCCCACCCTCCGCCACATGGGGAAATGCCATCTCGGCTGAGAGGTTCCCTTCAGAGGGGGGCTTCTAGGAGCGCTCCGTCTGGCTCCGAAAAACGCTAGTCTCAAGAACGCCATGGCGAGCTAGTCTAGGTGAGACCGTAAGTGCGAACGCAACACAAGCAGACTTTTGCATAATGTCTGTTGACAAAGGGTTCGCACAAGCGGAGAACGGTATTCAAGTGCTCATGATGAGGTGCATGCCAACGTGCCTGGTGCCCTGCCAGGAATGAACTCGACATAGAGAAAGAGAGAGAGAGAGAGAGAGAGAGAGAGAGCGCGAGCGGCTGAGACAAGCGGTATAGGACGTACAAGACACCTGTAGCAGTATTGTGCCTTCGTCAGCTGGTGCTGCCCCCTCTCCTTGGCCCGCTCGCCGGCCCGGATGAGTTCCCAATACAGTTCCAGGGGGATGGTCGTCGTCTTGTCAATGTGGACCTATTACATGTGCCATGTAATGGCAGGTGCACACATGTACACACCCGAGAATGCTTCAGCTTCTACAGGACTTTCGCAAGCCTCTCGACGGCTTTGCTTTTGAAGCAGCGTCGGTGCCTTTGGGTCGGAAAGGCCTCACATTCTGCGACACTTCACACCATTGAGTCATACGACTATCGGAACACCAAGCTATCACGAGACGGCGAAGGTGGCCTGTCTTTGCCTTTGCAGGTGGAACTTGCTTGTCCACAGGCGTTTCAGCTGGAGCTCCATAGCCAGCACACATACACATGAACCTGTCACGGCGAATAACAGACAGAAACGGTCAGGCCGGGCATGTCGATCTGTGCAACATCTGTGTAGCTTCCAGCTTCCAGCCTCGACAAAAAAGGTGCCAAGATCATGTTGGCAAACAATTCACTACCTTCACCACCCTCCCAGCTTGACCCACAACTTGACGGATGCAATGTTGTACAGGATACAAACAGTTCGAGGTGAAAGTCAGGTACGGGCATTGCATCTGTCTCTCGCCCGGCCTCTTTTTGTACATGTGGGGCACAGACTCTGCCACTGCAGACTCTGCCCAAGGTCTATACACTTACGCGCTTGCCGACGACAAAGGTTGCAGATCCAGCATCCCTCTGCGACCGCTGAACTCCCAAGTAGAGTGGAAAACATGGGTCGCAAGAGGCACCGAGCGCCTCAAGAAATTCAAAAGTCCTGGAGGACGCCTCCTTTCCATACTACGCTGATCGCACAGACCATATGGGCTCAGCTTACTCAGCAAGGTCGGACAGCAGGTTGGCCTGCATGGAGTTTGTGCGCACACATGGTGCGCTTCGAGACTCATACTTGCCGTACCAACCTCGTGAACACACGGCTTCAACATACGCAGAGACATATCCAACTCCCCTCTGCAGATGTGAAGCTCCCACAAGCCTAAAGCTTTGAAGCTGGCAGCAGCTCGATCTCAGCATGCACAAGGACTTGCACGTTTGCTGCCGTTTCGGAGGCGACTGCATGGTCTTCACACGTAGGGCACTTGCGATTGTCGCATTGGCTGTTCCACCACCCTCGCAGATGGCGAGCAGCCCAAATCGGCCCTGCAGCGAAGGCAATAGAACAAGATTGAACAAGTCACTGCGACTCGCAACCTTCGTCGCTTGACCCTGGCCTGCCGACGCCGGAGTTCATGCACCAGGGTCGTCATCAACTTGGCACCAGTTCCTGCAGAACGCGGAGATTTACTCGCGTCTTTGCCACAGCTCGAAGTTTGACAGTTTCAGGCAGTACTGTGGACATTGTCCATCTAGGAGGTATATGAGGTATTGGCCTAAAGCCTCGCGGTCTTCTGCTCTTCCGACGTGACTATTGCCGGTTCAGGTCTGTAAAGGATTGCGAAGCGGCGGCCGCACCTCCAAGCGGATGGCCCAATGCCATGGCCCCCCCGTTCACCTTCAAAGGAGCATAGCATCGCGTCGCTGCGTGCTTCACTTCACTGCGTTCGGCCCCCTTGTACTCTTAGAGCTCCTTGCCTTTGCGACTGTGACAAGAGGCCCCGGCATTCAGCTTCTGGAAGTCAGCACCCAGCGCCTGCATCCGCAAGCAGAAGATCAAGTGTCAGACACCAAATCATCAAAATGGGGGATGATGGCTCTTTCCCTGCCTTGCACCATGCTAGCGGCACTGATGCGAAGGCTTCGTTGACCTACGGCTGAGAAGACGGGTCCGGTCTTGTAAAGGCATGGTGATGCACTGTTGCAGCAGATCCCCAGCCTCATAAACGTCCACGTCCTGAATCTTCATGTTGGCCTGTCGACATGCAGCGAACATACAATCACACCCATTCGCATGCTCTTGCGAACTCAACCGAAACCAAGTGCGACTTCGGTGCCAGAACCGGCAAGGGCAGTCATGGCTTTTGTCCCTGCAAGGTGTCAGGGTCCTGCAGGCTAGCGGGTTGTGTGCGGTCGAAGGTTGGGTGCCTCGGAACATCCACACTTTAGGCGATTGCCAGCAGAGCCCGTGTAACGTTCTTCATCCGGGGGCCGCCAGCGGCGCAGCTAGGCCCACAGTGCTGCTTCCCAGCGTGTGATTTCTTGTTGAAGCATTGAAGGTTTGGTGCCCTGGTCTGACGGTGCAGCAAACATCAGCAAACATCCAGTCCCAAAGACGTGCCACGCCTTCTGCAAGGCCTTCTGTGTTGCTGGGATCGGCCTCATAGCAGCAGCGCGCCAGACATCACCACACACAATACGGGCAATACGCAATCACATCCTTTTGTGATATCGGAGCCGGGCGCTTCCAGCATTATTACGGGATCAGCTGCGGCCTCCAGAGGAGCTCTAAGCAAAGAAAGACCGCACATCTCTTAGAATAAGACCGGCGAGCTCGTAAACTTGCATGTTCACCATGGCCCCTGCGAGAGCCAACGAATGTATCCTGCACATTTACCAAGTTCTCGATGCTCTACGACGCATGCACTGGAACTTCTACCTGCGACATGGCACTCCTTGCCAACGGCTGGACACCGAGTTTTGCTAGTCCACGCCTGATGGCTCAGTGAAGCAAAGCATCCCGCATGCTCGACATGGGGAGACGCTCCAGAAGGCTCGTACAGGACGTACACTGCTACACCGATGTGCGTGAACCATATCTAACTTAGAACGTTCTAGGGGACCCAAGCTCTGCACGGCGAAAGGCCAGCCCCAGACGGTTGGAACATTTGGAACCAACTGCCTCTGGAGACGTTCTTGGACCCAGGCTCGTTGCAAATCAGTACGGCAGCAGCACCGTCGCCTTGACACTCTGCAGACCCGCGCTCCAGACCCCGGTCACTGTCACTCGTTTTTTGTCAGCCACACCACTATAAGCGGAGACTGAAGACCCGCGTCCAAGAAGCGGACAGATTTGTGACGAGGATGCAGGGGTAAGGACACCATTCGGAAACATTGCCTGTGCAGAGTTTATATTTCGGTCAGTGACATGCCACATGTCTGCTGTTTGGGCAGGCCTTCAGCTTTGCCACGCTCTCCACTGTCACGCCTTCCCGGATGCCCTCATCCTGCGCTGGTGCTGCGCAAACAGAGACTCTCTGAATGGGATACACATCCGGCCTGGGTATGCATGCCTTCGGATTGGCCTTCCTTTCCTTACTTCTCCAGCACTCTCGATGCAATTTTGGAGCTTGGGAAGCGTGCAGGGCAGAGCTGAGACGAAGAATGCATGACCAGTTTGCCGAAACCCTGACGTGCTACCTGAAGAAACAGAGGGGCCGTGACCGGCATTAGCCCGGGGCGAACAGGCTTCTTTAAAATTCGTCCTTCACTCTTCGCCATGTTGACTTTTATTGTTTGCTGCCAAGCCGCGCCTGACTGGCAGAGGGACGATCTCGTCCGCAAACTTGCCAGCCTCGGGCTCTTCACGTGTCTTAACACTGGCGCAGGGAAAGGCCTGAATGCAATGCTGGTGTACAGCCGGTTTGGGTACCGGTGCTGTCGCGCAGCCTGCGTAGACGTCACTGCTCTTTGCTGCGAGATAGCGGCGAACTTGTCCACATCCTGAAGGAAAACGGCCCGACAACGCTCAACCTCTGCGCAGATGTCCTTCCTCAAACACTGTCTAGCGTGATGATGCATGTCTCTTGCCCTGCCTCACGGCTTAGGCCATACTTTTTCGCCAAAAGCTCTGCACCTCCAAATTGAGAGAAAGCCTGAACGGCATTGGCAGAGCATCAGAATGATTCAGGATAGGTCGTGCACAGCTTTCCATCAAAATCGCACGTGCCTGCGAGGACATGTTAAACTGTTCGAAGGCCTGCGGGCTCCCGGCAAGGGCATCGCACTGCTACAAGTTTGACAGATAGCAAACCCAGTAAAAGCCGATGCACGACTACTTCACGGAAATGCAGTTCACAGAAGTGCTGCAACTGTGGCCTATGCGATAGATACCAAGCACTAGGGAGTCTACGAACAACCGTTGTGCTGCAGAACATGTCACCTCAGTCAGGAGAACGACCATACCAGCACTAGCGCTGGCCACCGACCCCGCACGACAGGAACACTGTAGTGCGTGCACCAATGTCGAGACAACCCAGCCTTCATTTTCTCGGCATATTTCTCCATGGTGGCATCGCTCATGGGATTGCCGTGCCCGGCCTCACGTTTTGCTTCAACCGCTCGATCGGCATCGCGACGGTTAAAGCTTGTGTGAAGGCCTTTAGACCATCAATGATAGAAGCACCGATGGGAACCTGTGACCTTTGCAGTTTAGGCCACTCTGCCGTCCAGGGTTTTTAGCATGCACAGCGATGCAAAACATCTCAGACTTGCACATGACCTCCACGCCGCCAGCGATGCCTTGGTGCTTTTGAGACCCAAACCCAAAGAAGAAGCTCCTCCTTCTTGAAGCGACTTGGTCGCTGTTGAGATGAGCCACAGCAGTCGTGCACACCACTCATCACCGCCTGCGCGGCTGCATGGATGGCCTGCAAAGCATGCTGGAGAATGGCTCAGGATGGCTCAGGCTGCAGAGGAAATTTCCACCCTGAAAACAGCTGCAAAGCAGGATCCCGAAATGGTTAGAGTGTACCTGCTGCAACCTGCTCCCAAGACTACACAAGCATGCTGTCAGTGGTCAGAATTTCAGCGAGGGCAATCGGTTTCGGCGTCCTGCTGCGAGGAGCCACACTGCCTGTCGACGGACTGGCCAGGTACCTGCAGTGACCATGGAACTGCAGATCGCATCGAAACACATGCCTGTCCATCAGGCCCTGACGCTCTCTGGCAAGTGTCGAGAAGAAAGCACAACACCACGCCCAATGTTGCCAGACTGGTACGCATCCACTCTGTGACTCTGTGCGGTGCACCAACAACCATCCGGCCAACCTGCACCTGGCCTGCGCTCCAACCTGGCTGACACAGCCGAAGATGACGTCTTCCACCTAACAGCTGCGACAATTGACCCTCTCGAGAATCCAAATTAATACCTCACGCATGGGGCCAAAAGATGTCAAGTTTGTTCCCAGTTTTGCCGAGCCACACTCCGCAGGGATTGAAAAAGCACAGCTGGCAGATTAGTATGTGAAGAGTGGTTTCAAAACACATCGAAATGTGGCCTCCGTTACGCTGATATACGTACGATCGTGGGAGAAAAACAGGTCCTGCCTTTAGTTTGAGTTTCTTAAAACGGAGAGCTGTAGCTTGGGGAGAGCCGAGGAGGATGCCGGTTGATGAAGCCCCGGACATTTGTCGATGTCGGCAGCTTTGGCTGCGGTGCACCAGAACACCGCAGCAGCAAGTGCTTTTTGGGGAAGATGATGCAAGTGTCATAGGACAGTTGGACGTAGGTTTTCCCTAGTGTAAGGCCTTTCCAAACATACAAAGGTTGCGCAACGAAGCGTAGACGCGTGTCCTTCCATGGTTGCTGTTGTGTGGGTCGTCGGGTTCCATGTGAAGTTTGAAGCCAACCAAGCTTTAGTGGCATCTGGCGTACGGGAATCAACGTCTGTGGTAAGATTTAGGCACAAACCTTGAAACAGCTTTGACATCAACGTCCGGTCCAATCGCCTCCGCTGCCTTCACATTGGTGCGTTCGATCAAAGCGTCGCAGACCGTGGCACCGAGCTCTGCAGGATGGTAGCCTGGCAGTGAAACGACTCAAAAAGGCTGCCATGCTGCGTCTCCATGACCTGAAAGCCGGCCGTTTCGCTTGCCGCCAGCAGTCCTTTCAAAACCGCGATTTCACTGCATGTTGGCACAAGTAGCAGTTGGCGGTCCTGCAAGCATCAACAATGTAGGCGGTGAATGGCTTGAAGTCCGTCATTGCACTCCCCAAGCACGCGAAGCTACGAGCAAAGCTGCCAGAAAAAACGTTCAGACATCCGCTGAGGCAAGCCGAATTGCATCTCCACCCCCAGTGTCAGCATAGCTGCATTGGAACCCGGCCCTGCTTTCCCTCTGATGAATCGATGACACTTTCGATCAGCCAACCAACAACATGATCGATAGCCTGTCTGTACAAAAGGCATGTGTCGACCACTGTTTGGTTCAGGAACGGGGCTGCAAAAGCTGTTAAATGTTAAAACCATGCTGTGTAGCACTGTTCAGGCCTACTTCTTGTAGGTCCTGGATAAACGAAGCGAGTTCCTTTGCTGAAGGGGGACCTGAGTAAGTTGTGCCTCGACCCCTGACTTCTGATCTCCCACTTGCGCCAGCATGTATGAGGGGCGCAGGTTGTTGGACAAGCGCCGACTGTTGCGGTCACGGGCCGTCAAGGCAGGATTTCGATCAATAGAAGCAGGCTTGTACTTGTCCCACAGCCGACCGGCAACTATCTTCACGAGATCCAGAAGCAGAAGCCAAGCAATATCGTACAGCCAGATGCCTAAAACATCCATGGGCTCCAGCTTGTCTACCAGGCCGGAGGGAGCCCACAGGCACCAAATGTTGATCAGGACCTGCCCCAGTGCAGTGGACAATGCCAATTGCCATGCCGGCATGCTCGAAAAGAAGAGTCCAACTGTGCGTGCCGAGAAGATTAGAATTGCCGATGAGTTGGAGATCTGCAGGAAAATGGTGGTCTCCATGTACTTGTCCATTTCGGTACCAGCCGCAGAAGCGTCCACACTTGCGAAGTACCCGTCTGCGAATCTGTCCGAGAGAAAGTAGTGGCCACAAGACACCAGTAACATCGTTTGAGCAAACATGAGAATGCCCATTGAGTAGCTTTGTAGCAGTAGTCCCAGCACAGTGGGAGTCTCGGGTCTGTGTCCTGCGATCTGGTGGTCGTAAGCAATCGTCACAATCTGCAGGTCATGGAAGAGCGCGAGCAAGATGATGTAAAGAGCCTTGAAACGGAGGTCAAAGAAAATGGCCAAGGCGGCCAAGAAGAACACCACTTGCACTGTAATGCAGATGCGATAAATCACGTAGGACTTCAACCTCTTAAAGATACGTCTCGAGATCTGGATGGCTGTGTAGATTGGCGAAAGACCGTCTCTTGTCAGGACTATGTCACCAGCAGATTTCGCAGCGTCAGTGGCTCCGTGCACCGCAATGCCAATCTGTGCCTGGAAGCCACGAGGTTTTCGCAAGTTTTGATTCAGCTTGCCACAGAAACCACTCTATAGACCTACCGTACTCACCTATACGTATACAGACATATACACATGGACAGATAACTGGCTCGCTTACTAGCTAGCTAGCAGGTAGACAGAGAGATAGATAGATAGGTAAGCTGGGAGATAGGTAGGCAAGTACATAGGTAGACAGGTAGGTAGCTAGATAGGTAGACAACTAGACTCATAGACAGATAGACAGACAAATAAAAAGATAGAAGATAGTGAGATCGACCCAGACCAAAAGAACGACAGATAGCTCGAATGGCTGGATGGCTGGCTGGCTGGCTGGGTGGACGGATGGACGGATGGATGGACGGATAGACGGATGGACGGGTGAACGGATGGACGGATGGACGCATGGACGGATGGACGGATGGACGGACGGATGGATGGACGGATGGACGGGTGAACGGATGGACGGATGAACGGATGGACGGATGGACGGATGGACGGACGGATGCTGGGACGGATGGACGGATGGACGGACGGATGGAAGGATGGGTGAACGGATGGACGGATGTACGCGTGGACGGATGGACGGATGGACGGGTGAACGG